TCTTGGTTTCAACGGGGCTTGGGGTTGACACGGACCTCCTCTTTTGGTAGCAGCACATATTAAACAGTGACGCACATGCGTCCGCACTTGCTTTCTCATAGATGGCCAATAATATTTCGTCGCAATTAATCTAAGGGTTTCTTCTCGTCCAGGGTGGCCCGCCTCCGGGCTATCGTGAAATTTCTGTATAACCCTTCGCCAAAAAGGGGCACCACAAGTCGTCTCTGGTCTCCAACTTTATACCAAACTAACCCATCCTCAACAATATATTGGTCCCTGAGCGTCCGCTTCCAGGGTGTATCTAATGGGTCTTCCCCACTCTGGAGCCTTGGAATTCGGATTCGGGTGACCTGGTATTCGACACTTTCTTGTTGTGCCCGAACAATCTGGTCATATAAAGGTAAGTCATCGTCTTCGATTTGGGTCAATTGCATAGATTGAAATAACATAGTTGGTAGTCGATACGTAGTCACCTTAGCTTCTGTCAGGTTTATCATTGGTCTGGTCGGGGAGTTCACAGTTGGTGGTAAATTTAACAAAGGTGGACTCATCCGTTCTTCATTGACGGGGGGAACTTCTAATTCTTCCGGATTCCGGCTGAGGAAATCTGGCAGTTCATTGGCCCTGCCCGGACAATGCTCGACCTCAAACTTGAATTCTTGCAAGTATAAAGCAAAACGTGTCAATTTAGCCCTCTCTTCTCTGTATCGGTGGAGCCACAGAAGGGCTCGGCTGTCGGTACGCAACAGGAATTCTCGCCCTTCCAAAAGGGGCCGGTATCTTCGGCAAGCCCAAACCACAGCCAGGACTTCCTGCTCGTTGCAGTGATACTTGGCTTCCGTGCTGGTGAATTTGGCGCTTGCACATGAGATAACTAACTTCTCTCTTCCGGGCCCCTCTTGGTAGAGGACGACCCCCATCCCTATTGCGCTGGCATCTGTTTGTAAAGTGAACTTCTTTTCCGGGTCAGGACGATGTAAATATAAAGGACGGGATAAGACCAACTTTAGTTCCTGGAACGCCTTCTCCGCCTCTTCATCCCACATAAACTTCTGCTTTCCTAGCAATCTGGTCATGGGGGCGGCAATAGTCGAGAAGTCCTTCACGTACTCCCGTCGCCAATTGGCTACCCCTAAGAACTTCTGCAGGTCTTTCTTAGTTCGTGGTGTCGGAAACTGGTTTATTTTCTGGATATGCTTATCTTGGGCTTCATTACGTGTCGCAGTGATGCGGTGTCCCAAATAATTAAGTTCTGTAGTCCCAAAAATGCATTTCTTAATCGAACAAGGTTATGACAACGTAAACGTTCCAAAACTACAGGTGACGAACATGCTCCTGGCGGGTACTGGAGTATACTATTATGTCGTCTAAATATACTTGGACAAAGTCGTCCACGTATCCCGCCAGGACCTCCACCATCAATTTTTGAAATGTGGAGGGGGCGTTCTTCAGCCCGAACGGCATTACGAGGAATTCGTAAGCCGCCCCCTCCGGTGTGTGGAAAGCAGTGAGAGGAATGCTGGCAGTCTTCATTGGTACCTGCCAGTACCCACTCTTGAGGTCCAACGAGGTGAAGATCGTCGCGTTGCCAATATCTCGTAAAATGTCTGTTATAGGTGGTAGTATCGAAACTTCGTCTTTTGTTATACTGTTGAGTTGGCAGTAGTCTATGCAAAACCTGGTGGTACCATCCGGTTTTCCCACCAATACTATTGGCGAGCTGTACTGGGAACAGCTTCTTCGTATGAATCCCGCTTGTAACATTTTTGCAACTTCGTCATGTATAATTTTCTTTTTTTCTACTGAAAACTTATATCGCCTTATGCGAAATAGTTTATCATCTGCTAATTTTATTTCGTGAGTGACAAGGTTAGTACAAGGTTGAGTGGTTCCTTCCCTAAAAACGTCGGGAAAGTCATCACTAATCTCTTGGTAATGAGGAATCCATTCTTCTGCGCAGTTCGTGTCTTCCAATCGGGGAGGTGGGTACATTTCCGGTACATTTTGTTCTAAACACCCATACACTACATCTCTACGGTCTCTTCCAAAATACAGGCTACCCTGTCTGTAGTCGATCACGACTTCCTCAGATCGCATCCATTCCGTTCCTAGAATGAGGGCCTCTTTTAACATCTCCATCAGGTAGACCGTTATCTCCATCTCATCCCTTCCTATCTTCATTTTTACCGTCACCGGGCCCCTTGCCCAGACTTGCTGCCCATTCGCTAAACACACCTGTCCTCCCATATTCGGTAACTCAACGGCATAATATTCAGTACGTAAAAACGAGTGAGTAGCTCCCGTGTCGACGAGGGCCGTCAATTCTCTTTCTTCAATTTTTACTGGTAATTTCAATAGTTCGCATCCATCTTGGTTCCCTTGCATGGAGCCAATGGTCAATGAGCCACTATTGGCTCCGACATAGTGACTCATTTCTAGTTTTCCGCCCTCGGCGGCTGATCCGGGTTAGGCGTCCTTGGATTCTGACGTCCCCCCATGTTTCGTCTATTTTCTCCTTCTCCACCTTCAGGTGGGCTACTTCCTTTTATTGCCCTTCTAGGGCACTCTCGGTTGTAATGATCTCCACCGCAAAATCTGCAATTATAAGGCGGTTGCCTTGGTCTTGTCCCCATGGGCACTAATTCCTGGCTCGAATTTCCTTGCAAGCCACTGGGTCCACCAGTGATTAATCTCAGTTGGGTCTCCACATCTGTAGCATATCTCGTCAACTCTTCAATGGTAGCCATCTTGATTCCTACCAGTTGAAGTTGTATTTCTGTTCGCAACAGTGCCTTTATTTGGAGTACCATCTCTATCTCGCTTCCCATTTCTAACCTTCTAAATATAGCTCTCTTTTGAGCGATAAATAGTCTTGCTTCCTCTCGACCCTACGTTTTGCAAAATGCTTCTCTCTGCAATTTCATTCTGTATTGTAGATTATCGAATCGGTCTAGTAGATTTCCCACAAATTGGGAGAACGACCAGTCAAACATCTGGTAGGCTACGATTGATTATACACAAGGAGCTATTTATTTTGGAAAGGAGAAAAGACGAGCTGCGTATTGGGTATTGCAAGGGCGGAACCCGAAGATGTATAATCCAGTGAAGTTCGAAGAAGGAACTTGCCCGGATATGTGGGTGCCTTGTTACGAACGTATAGCAAACGATTTCCCAGAGGTTTTTCAAGAGGAGGTGACACGGTCGTGCACTCATTTAGTAGAACACCAGATAAAATTGAAAGAGGATAGAGTTTTTAGAATTCGTAGATATAAATTTTCTCCGTTGAAGAAGCAAATTATTGACCAAGAAGTGACCCAGATGTTGAGAGCAGGAGTAATACGGCGGAGTTGTTCGTCGTATAGCTCACAAATCGTACTTGTGGAAAAAGCGGATGGAGCTACACGCTTTTGCGTGAATTATCGCCAACTCAACTCGATTACCGAAGACGACGTCGCCGTGTTGCCACCTATTGGAGAGATTCTGAAGGACATAGGGGAAGCTACAGTGTTCACTTCCCTAGACCTAAGGAGTGGATACTGGCAGGTGTCCATGGCCAGAGATAGTGTCCATTTAACAGCGTTTCACACACCGGACGGCGCAGCGTATGAATTTTTAGTCATGCCCTTTGGAGTTAAAAACGCGCCGGCCACGTTTCAAAAACTAATGTTAGAGGTATTGGCTGGTTATGTGAACTACTTCGTCCAGGTATACCTAGACGATATAATAATATATTCTGCTAACAGAGAGTTACACGAGAAACACTTAAGATTAGTTTTGGAGAGGCTGTGTTGCCATGGACTGCGGTGTGCTGTCAAGAAATGTATGTTCGGTGTGCAGGAACTGAATTATTTAGGACACAAGATTACCACATCCCATAACGAGACGCAGGAAAAGCATATTCGGAAGATACAAAGTTTCGAAAGCCCGAAATCCCAAAAAGATGTCCAGAGGTTCCTAGGAGTGGCGAACTGGCTGAGGGAATACGTTCCTCATTTTTCTGAGATAGCCAGCCCGTTAACAAAGTTACTGGGAAAGAGGAAATTATTTTGGAATCAAGAAACTGAAGAAGCTTTTCAAAATTTGAAATTAATATTGTCTAAACCCTTGCATTTACACCGACCAGACCCAAACAAACGATATATAGTCCAAACGGATGCCAGTTCGATTGGTATGGGGGCGGTGGTATTTCAAGAAGGAGAGAATAAGGAAAAACTGATTGTTTCATGTGCGAGTGCGAAGTTTTCCCCAGCTGAGACCCGCTACCACTGCAATGAGCAAGAGGTGCTAGCCGTGGTGTGGGCCTGCCGGAAATATAGACCCTTATTAGATGGACGGGAATTTACCCTAAGGACTGATAGTAAAGCTCTATTATGGTTACAAAAGTATAGAGAAGATAAGGCAAAATTGACCCGATACGCGTTGTACCTACAAGAATTCAAGTTTACAGTAGAACATTGTCCGGGGAAGTCGAATTACTTACCTGACTTTTGAAGTCGAAATCCTGAAGAGGAGGTCCTGGAGCCGTTGGAGGAGGAGCGGTTAAGTCCCCCCGAGATAGTACCTGAAACAGAAAGAAACGATGAGTTAGCAATACAGATGGTGAGAAGTATCGAAGAGGCTAGGGAAAATATATTACGGATCCCACCGACGTTCGTACAACCGATAACGATAAATCAAATGGATGACCGAAATTTACCCTTTTATGAAGTTATTGTGAGAGCCCAAAAGGACAGTCCGGAATATGCGGTTACAAAGGCCCGGATACGACGATTGCAGCAAGGAGAAGAATCAGCGGATGTACCATGGAAACGAACCCTGATGGAAAATTATGAAGTCAAAGATGACTAGTGTGGTATAAAGAAGGAGACGCCTACAGACTGGTCGTTCCTTTAGAATTTTGGCCGAGAGTTATAAACGAGTATCACGATAGTTTGGGTGCGGGGCATCCCGGAAGAGATGAAACTATTCGTTCTATTGGACTTTTGTATTATTGGCCCTCGATGAGACGCCAGGTTAAGACACATGTGCGATATTGTCTGTTGTGCGCAGCTTCGAAGAGAGGAGAGGCATGGCAAGAAAAGGCGCCATTGAAACCAAGACCTCCACAAAGGCCGTGGCAGGTCGTGAGTATTGATATCATGGGGCCGTATGCTCAGATGAGGAAGAAAAATAGATTTTTAATTGTATTGACTGATGTTTGTTCAAAATGGGTAGAAGCTATACCTGTACCCCAAGTGAGACCTCGTATCCTGATCGATTTTATGGAGAATATATGTCAACGATGGGGATATCCGGAACGTGTGATCAGCAATAATGGTCCAACATTCAGGAGTAAGGTGTGGACCAAGTATCTACAAGAGAAGTTTATAAATCAATACTTCTCTCCCATTTATCATCAAAGAAGTAACCCAGTGGAGAGAAGAAACCAAGAGTTAAAGAAGTTATTACGAATATATTGTCAACCAAGAGAAGAGGATCAATGGGATGCAGCGTTCAACCAAGCCCTGTTTACGTTACGAAACCGTAAGAATTCGGCTACCGGAATGAGCCCTAGCACAGTTTTGTTGGGAGCACAATTAGTTAGACCCGGAGAATGGGGACACCCAGAGGTAAACCAACAAGTAGGCAATAACCCGGCAGAACGAGGAAGAAGACTTGATCGTGTGCGACGAAGACAAATCATATTCGCTAGGAACTTATATCCAGAAAATCCAAGATCAAAAGTACAGTTTCAAGTAGGAGACCGAGTACTAGTGCGGTGCCACCCAGGAACGCAGACACCATTGGGATTGCCATGGAGTGGACCGTACCGGATAGTCAGAGTTTGTGGACTCAATGTTTATGAGGTAGATCGAGGTGGATCAATAGTTCTACTTCATGTGGATGACCTAAGACCGTGGAGAGATAGACCAGAAGATAGAGAATTCGAAAGAGGTCCACTTCATATTCCCGAAGTAGACGAAATACCTGATAATGTCATGTTAAATCCAGACGAGGTTGAAGAGAATATAGCAGAACCGATCGAACAGGATCGACAATCGGAAGTTTCCGATGATGGGACGGTATCGGATTGTTTCGCATATCCCGATTTGGATTCCGAGAATGTTATGAGAGAGAAAGAGAGAGAAGTGTAAGCCCAACCAGAGAGAACGCGAATCGTCAGTCGAACATACGTACCCATGCTGAGAGACCTATGTCACCACAACCTGGAACTTCAAAGATGTACTACCTGCAACGAGAACCACTGTCGACGGCACCTATAATGGAGAGAAGCAGGATAGGGAATGAAGGAGATGTTTGGATACCAACCAAAACAAGGGAAGTATCCTTTTATCCTTCTTTCCGTAAATTAAATCTGGCCCTGTTTGTTACAGGCACGAGTTCGAGTTTGGTGGTGAAAGTGGAGGACCCTGTTAGTCAAAAGATTAAGTCAAAAGTGCCGCGGGACGAAAGAGTGGGTGCGATGATCGAGATGGAAGACGTCGTGGAAGAGGAGCGGTTTCCAAAGTCCTTTTTCGTGGTTCCTATTGTAGGGTTGTACCCCTAAAGAATCGTAATGTACCTTTGTAAATATGTAAATATGTATGTTTAGTTGTTAAGTTTATTGTGAAGACGCCTAGGTGATCAAAGATTAGCAGCCGTCTCCGGAGGGGGGCGGTGTCATGGTCGCGGACACCGTAATTCGCGAATAAAATAAAAAATTTAAACTTAGTATCGCGAGCGCGACGTCGTTACGCGAAATGCGTGCTGAAAATAAACCGAAATAGTTTTGTTAAACCGAGGAGAAAATTCAGACCCGGAATTGGTGGAAACAGGATTTTAGGGCGGGTCTTCCCGTCCGCTTAACCATATAAAAGCACAGGGCGCGTTTGGACTTTTAGCAATCGTCAAGTGTCTTCAGAACGTCACGTCATTTGAGATCTGCCATTGTATTTTGTTGTAGAGGTGTCTGCAGTTATTTTGGATAACGCCGGGTACCCTGGGGGTTCCGCTAGCGTGGGAAAATACCGAAGTAATAAGTTTTGTCGCGGATATAATAGTAATAGCCGTCATTAGCGTGTTGGAAAGCGCTTGTAAAACATATGTAGTTTAGACTAGAGTAAATAATAAACCGGATTTTGGTTATAGAACTGAAAGGTGTAAATTTCGGGTTTTTGGGTGTCGACAAAGTAGTGTCGCATTAAGAAAACTTCTTTTTTAAGTTCGTGGGACTACCGGGCGTGGTTCGCGACGTAGTTAAACAAAGATTAAAATACTCACCTAGGTGCCTTAAATCTAACCTGAAGAGGGTAATAACGTGTAACAGAGACATACCTGGTAATATATGGTTTCAGCGTGTTCCCGTGTTCCTTTTCTGTCTGTTGTACTCGCGGTGCCTTCAGTGCCGTTCCTTACAGTGGAAATCTGAAAATAAAGGAAAAATTTATTAGTGACTAGTAGTGCTTGCTCTTGTCTAAATAACAGTAACTAAGTACAGAACAAAGTCTAGTAGAGTATTATTTTGGTACTTGTAAGAGTTAATAATAATAATAATAAACCTAAATTTGTCTTAAAACTGAGTGAAGTGGTCATAGAAACGGACACAGCTCTGACGACAGGCCGACCTATAGCTATCAGGGTAAGTGAGGAACTTTTAACTGAGCATTTGAACGGGACTGGTATAAGTAAAGACTATTTGAACTTTCTATTTGAACAAAGAGACTTTATAGATTTGAACTGTAGTGTAAACGACTTTAAATCACAGATAGTGAGTCATAGTGGATTTTTCTTGAACTTTAGACTGATAAATAGTAATAATTGAACAGTTATTAACTTTCCCTCTCATTTAAGTAAAATTGAGAGTCATTGGTGGGAAATTCAGTAATAGAGTGATAACAATAACCTGTCCCATTTTGCATTCTATCTATCCTATTGTATATATCTGTTTTGTTGTGTATATAAACTTGATTATGACCTCAAGAGACAAGTTCGGCGCATGCGCGCCCCGACTTGACCATGATTTGGACGAAGAACAATTGCGAGAGTCGTTGACTTCCACCGAGTCTCTGGAAGGGGCGTTTACTCTACCTACGGAGATCGAAACGGAGGGTACATCGTTTCTCTACCGTGACTTGGGAGGAATGCGACCAAATAACCATTCAAACGACCAAATTCCCGAAAATGACATTACCGAAAGCCCGGACGATAGTACCGGAAGGACCGGCGGTGCGTCGGGCGCATGCGCGCCGACCGGCGAGCCATCCGGCGCATGCGCACGGTTACACGTTGTCGTATTCCACCCTTCGAGCGAGCTTCAGGATTTGAGAACACCCCGTATATTCATAGAAGTCATAATCTTGTACCTACGGATATGCCGGAGACCGCTGAATTGAAAAGGAGGCGAAACAATCATATTCACCTACCTTTCCAATTCAAACCAAAAACCCGCCACGGTTGCGAAATCAATCGCCGTCGGCCGGGCAGAATGAAAAAGCCTCCATGAGAGTCTTCAGACATCGATCCTCACGGCGATAGCGCTCCCAGAGCGTTAAAGACCAATTTCACCGACCTTTCCAGTGTCACCCGCATCGCGACCGATCTCGCCTGGGTCTGCCATCCCGGCGCGCAGTGACCACTGCCGCTGCTCTCGCAACCTGCAGTCGAACCCCGGGACGCTTCACGATGACATTTGGAAATGGCCATTAGAAATTTCACCACCCTTTTGAATTGGTCAAGGACGCTATCGCCAATAACTCCAAAAGTTATTGAGCGATCGGTGTCAAAATTTAATGCAGCACTCCTCAAGTCGCTAGCATTATCTTACTAAATTTTCGTCCGAATCGGATGAGCCAAAACGCCGTTATACGGGGAAACGCGGATTTCACGTTTTCCGCGTTTTCAGCCGTTCCGCTCATTCGATCTCGGCCGAACCCTCCAACCACACTAGAGTATCGCTAGGTGGTTGTCATATCCAAATTCGAACCGAATCGCCCGACTACTAACGGCCAGCTAAGCCATAATAGGTTTTCACGCCTTTAGAGCTGCCGCCGAAAGTATCCGCGCGATCTCGGTCGAACCCTCCAACCACGGCACTATGTCATGCCGTGTATCAACAGACAAAATTTCAAATGAATCCATCAAGAAATAAGACCTCCGTAAGCCCTTTTACGAAGACGGGGAAAATTTCACCGATGTTTCCAATTTCCCCGTCTTTGGGCCGAAAGGACCGTCTTCCGAAGGTTCCACCGCTCTGGCGGTTGGATGCGATGCTCGGCAGCCTAAGCCGAGACCGCGGGTAGAGTTTTTCCCAAACCGGGAAAAAACTCCAAAATCCCCGACGCCGACATCGACAATCCGTAGAGGCCAGAGGGGAACGAGTCCCGGCGTTGATGGGGACGATGGATGATTTTGGTTCGAGATTTTGGCGGACAATTCAAGGCCCGGTCCGCCAAAAGTATGGAAATCCCACAAAAGTGATCGAACGTCTACTTTTGACGTTTACAGTACTTCAGTGGGAGTACATGAGACGGAAAGCGATACAGAGCGAATTGTAACAAATCTTATTCATGGTAAATAACTTGTATATGTTAATTGTGAATCTTTGTTGTTTATTAATTTTATTCAATATATACTTTTAACATATCTTCCACGGTTTGATTGAAAAAACCCTGTCATCAAGCTCAAGAACTTTGGAGCTCAAGCTCACAGGCTCGCTTCACGAGGCTTCCGTCGAGGCTGGCATTCCTCGACGTGATATTAATAGTGCCTAGCAACCACTACTCGCTTAACGAGATACCACCCGAGTAGTCTAGCCTGAGGTTAAGACCCTGTTCGGTAGCCCCCTGCGTCGAAACAGAGCTACATTTCCAGGATCAATTTGAGACCTGCTATACCGTCCGAGACTGACCACCTCCGACGAAGATCCTGTGCGATAGCCATTCGCATCGACACAGCGATACTTTCAGGCTCCTCCAGAGACCTACATACCGTTCGAGGCTTGCGACCCTACGACGAAGACTTTGATCACGATTGTGCCGGCTCCATCGACAGACCTGCACCTCGGTACAAAGTACACACATAGGCTCCTACGAGACCTATAATTCAGACTCCATNCCAGACGAGGTTGAAGAGAATATAGCAGAACCGATAGAACAGGATCGACAATCGGAAGTTTCCGATGACGGAACGGTATCAGACTGTTTTGCATATCCCGATTCGAATTCCGAGAATTTTATGAGAAGTCCGGAAAGAGAGAGAAGTGTAAGCCCGACAAGAGAGAACGCGAGTCGTCAGCCGAACATACTTACCCATCCTGAGAGACCTATGTCACCACAACCTGGAACTTCAAAGATGTGCTACCTGCAACGAGAACCACTGTCGACGGCACCTAGAATGGAGAGAAGCAGGACAGGGAATGAAGGAGATGTTTGGATACCAACCAAAACGAGGGAAGTATCCTTTTATCCTTCTTTCCGTAAATTAAATCCGGCCCCGTTTGTTACAGACACGAGTTCGAGTTTGGTGGTGGAAGTGGAGGACCCTGTTATCCAGACGATTAAGTCGAAAGTGCCGCGGGACGAAAGAGTGGGTGCAATGATCGAGATTGAAAAAAATTCAAGAACCAGTTATAGATCAACTGATATATGTTGAGGACAAGACACCTGTTCTGGGGTACAGGTATCCACCCCAGTGGCGCCCAACAAGTAATGAAAAATCGAATGAGCAAAAAATTGCTGATATGTTTAGCAAGGCAATGGAAAATTTGGCGGGAGTGTTGAGCAGTCAGGGTAGACCGGAAACAAGTAGACATGAATGGAGGGAGTTCGAACCGACGTATGAAGGGACGGACTATGAGAATCCTAGAATGTTTGTTCAGCAAGTCCGAGAAAGTTGTGAGCAAAACAGAATCCCCGTACAACATTGGACCAAGTATGCAGCTACCAGATTACGAGGTGAAGTCAGCAAATGGTACGCCGCTTATAGGATATTCGATTGGTCCTTTTTCTAGTTTACTGGAAATCTGATAGGCAGATTTGATAACTTGCAGTTAAGGATGAGACTGCAAAGAGATGTTTTTTGTAAGACGCAAGGAAGAGACGAGGCGAGACTTTTTGTCACCCAGAAGAGGGCGTTGTTCCGCCGATTAGAGTTAGGC